AGGCTCCCCACAGGAAGCCTGCTTCTCCCTCTGCCTATGTCTCTGCCTCTCTCTCTGTCTCTCATGAATAAATAAAATCTTTTAAAAAAAAAAGCAAAAAAAAAAAAAAAATGAGCAAAGACATGAACAAATATTTCTCTAAAGATATAACAGATGGCAAACAGACACATAAAAAGATTCTCAACATCACTCATCATCAGGGAAATTCAAATCAAAACTACGAGATACCACCTCACATCTGTCAGAACGGCTGAAATCAAAAACACAAGAAACAAGTGTTGGCGAGGATATGGGGAAAAAAGGGATATCCCCATGCACCGTTGGTGGAATACAAGCTGATGCAACCACTGGGGGAAAACAGTATGAAGGTTCCTTAAAAAAAGTAAAAATAAAAAAAAAATAAAAATAAAAAAAAAGTAAAAATAGAATTACCATATGATCTAATAATTTCACTACTGGTATTTACCCAGAGAAAATGAAACCACTAATTCGAAAAGACATAAGCACCCCTATATTTACTGCAGCTTTATAACAGCCAAGATATGGAAGTAACCCAAGTGTCCATTGATAGATGGATGGATAAAGAAGATGTGGTATATGTAAAATGGAATATTACTCAGTCATTAAAAAGAATGAGATCTTGATATCTATGACAACATGAATTGTCCTACAGGGTATTTTGCTAAGTGAATTAAGTCAGAGAAAGACAAGTACCATATGGTTTCACTTACACGTGGAATCTAAAACACAAAACAGGTAGTGGAGCCCTCTGGCTGTCTGAGGATCCATGTTGCCAGATCCGCGAACGGTTTACTGAGCCTCTTAGTTCCCCCTGCTGAGACTCATGTCGCCGTCATGTCCTGCTACCTGCGCCCCAACATGTCTCTGTTCATAAGGAACGTGGTTGACAATACCAGGTTGGAAGATTTACGATGAGAATTTGGTCATTATGGTCCTATAGTTGATGTGTATGTTCCACTTGATTTCTACACACGCCATCCAAGAGGATTTGCTTATGTTCAATTTGAGGATGTCCATGATGCTGAAGATGCTTTACATAATTTGGACAAAAAATGGATTTGTAGACACCAAATTGAAATACAGTTTGCATAGGGGGATCGGAAGACTCCAAATCAAATGAAAGTCAAGGAAGGGAGGAATGAGTACAGTTCTTCATGCTATGATGATTATGACAGATATAGACATTCTAGAAGCTCAAGTTATGAAAGAAGATCAAGAAGCCAGTCCTTTTTTTTTTTTTTAATTTTTATTTATTTATGATAGTCACACAGATAGAGAGAGAGAGAGGCAGAGACATAGGCAGATGGAGAAGCAGGCTCCATGCACTGGGAGCCCGATGTGGGATTCGATCCCGGGCCTCCAGGATCGTGCCCCGGGCCAAAGGCAGGCGCTAAACCACTGCGCCACCCAGGGATCCCAAGAAGCCAGTCCTTTGATTACAACCATAGAAGATCTTAGAGACCTAGAAACAGTAGACTGGCTGGAAGACCACAGCATAGCAGAAGCCATTCCGACAATATAGACCAAACCACAGCTGGAATACTCAGTACAGTTCTGTTTACTACAAGACAGATCTGAGAAAGCGTAAAAAGAACCAAAGAAGGGCAGTTCAAGTGACCAAAGGGTGGATGGAAGATGCAGTATGAATACTGTACAAATATTCTGACTCTGGTCTGAAAAGATAAAAAAGAATGTTATCAAAACTACATGGAATAAATGAAGTCCCTTCAAGTTTGAAAGTAAGCATTTTAGGACAAATAAAAGGAAACTCAACTTAAAATAAAATAAAATTTAATTTAATTTAAAACCCCAGACTCTTACATACATGGAACTGGTGGTTGCCAGAGGGGAGGTAAGTGAGGGATGAATCAAAAAGATAAAGGGAATTAATTTTCAGTTATAAAATAAATGGGTCAAACAGATGAATAGTAATGCACTCCACCTAGCAAGAACAGAACACACACTATTCTCAAATACACACAGAACATTCTCCATTACAGGACAAATGGGAAAGCATAAAATAAGTCTTAATAAAATTAATACTGAAATACAAGGTTTGTTCTCCAACCACAATGGAATGAAATTAGAAATTATCAACAGAAATAAATTTGGGAAACTCACAAATACATGGAGGTCAACGTACTCCTAAATGACCGATGAGTCAAAGAAGAAATCACATGGGAAATTAGAAAATATTTTGAGATAATGAAAACACAACCCCGACTTACAAGATACAGTTAAAACAGTGCTTAGAAGGGAATCTGTACCTGTAATGCTTGTATTAAAAAAGAAGAATATCTCAAATCATTAACCTCAACTTAACCTTAAAAGCTCAAAAAGATCAAACTAATACCAAAGCAAGTAGAAGGAAGGAAATGATAAAGATTGCATAGGAAATAAATGAAAGCAAGAATTAAAAACAGAAAAATCAATGAAACCAAAAGTTGGTTCTTTGAACAGATCATTAAATTGACAAACCTTTAACTAGACTGACCAAGAGGTTAAACCCAAACTACTATGAAAGAAGGACCATAGATACCAACCTCACAGAAATACAAAGGACTATTAAGGGAATACTATGAACAACTTGTATTAACAGCAAATTAGATCACCAAGAAGAAACTAATTCTTAGAAAGACACAAACACTGAAAAGAGACTCAAGAAGAAACAGAAAATCTAAATAAACCTGTAACAAGTAAAGGATGGAATTAGTTATCAAAAAACTTCCCACAAAGAAATACTCAGGACTAGATGGCTTACTGCTGAATTCTACCTGACATTTAAAAAAGAATTAACACCTTAAAATATGTGGTCAACTGACTTTTGACCAAGATGCCACAATAACTCAATGAGGAAAGAAGCCTTTTCAACAAATGGGACTGAGACAACAGGATAGCCACATACAAGAGAATGACATTAGGCTCCCATCTCACACAAAATAATGCACAAAAGTTAACTCAAAATGGATCAAAGACTGAAATGTAACAGCTTACACTCGAAAATTGGATTAAGTACTGTTTTTTTTAAGCTATGACACCAAAAGCATAAGCAATGACAAAAGTTCATAAATTGCTTTAAAATAGCCTTCATCAAAATTAAAAACTTTGTGTATTGAAGGGCACTATCAAAGTGAAAAGACAACCCACAGATCGGATAAAATATCTGCAAATCATGTATCTGATGAGGGACTAATATCTACAATATATAAAGAATTCTTGCAATTCAGCAACTGCAAGACAATTTTTAACTGATATTTCAATTACAAAATGAGCAAAATTTGAATAGACATTCTTTAAAAGAGACACACAAATGTAGGCACATGAAAAGATGTTCAACATTAGTCATCGAGGAAATACAACTGATAACCACAATGACATACCACTGCATACACACACAGGAGGACAGTTAGAATCAAAAAGAGGGACAACAAAAAAAAAATTTTTTTTTTTTTTATTTTAAAAAAGAGGGACAACATGGTACCTGGCTGGCTTAGTCAGTTAAGTGTCCAACTCTTGATCTAAGCTTAGGTCTTGATCTCAGGGTTGTGAGTTCAAGCTCCATATGGGCTCCACACTGGGCATGGAGCATACTTTAAGATTTTATTTATTTACTTTATTTTTAAAGATTTGAAAGAGATAGAGAGAGCATGGGGAGGGGCAAAGGGAGAGGGTGAAAGAGAAACTCAAGCAGACTTCACACTGAGCCTGACACAGAGCTTGATCTCACAACCTTGAGATCATGACCTGAGCTGAAACCAAGAGTCAGAGGCTTAACCAACTGCACCACCCAGGTACCCCTTATTTATTTATTTAAGACAGAGAGTGCACACATGGGAGGGAGTAAGGGAGGCAAGGAGGAGGAGAGGGGGAGAGAAAGCATCTCAAGCAGACTCCATGCTGAGTGCAGAACTGACACAGGGCTCCATCTTACAACCCTGAGATCACGACCTGAGATGAAATAAAATATCAGATGTGTAATCAACTGAGCCACCCAGGCATCCTAACCTACTTAAGAAAAAAAAAGAGAGAGAGAGAGAGACAACAGAAGGTGGGTGTGGAGAAAATGGAACCCTCATACACTGATAGTAGGAATGTAAAATGGTTTAGCCACTTTAGAAAACAATGCAGTAGTTTCTCAAACAGTTAAAGAGAGTTACCATATGGCTCTGTAATTTCATTCCAAGGCAAGTGCCTGAGAATTAAAAACATGTCTATATAAAATCTTGTACATATATGTTTACAGAAGCACTATTCGTAACAGCTGAAAAGTGGAAACAACTCAAATGTCCACCAACTGATGAAGGGATAAATAAAAAGCAGTTTATCCATACAATGGTATATTACGGGCAATAAACAGAAATGAGGTGCTGAGATGTGCCACGACACCCATACAAAGTTTGAAAACATTATGCTAAATGAAAGATGCTGGTGTATACTGTAGGATTCCACTTATAAGAAATACCCACAAGAGGTGAATTCACAGAAACAGCAAGTAGAATGGTGGTTGCCTCCAGCTGGGAAAGTCAGGGGAAATGGAATGACTCCTAATAGATATGTGGTTTCTTTCTAGAATGATGAAAATCTGGAATTTGTGATAATGGTTGCACAACTTTGTGAATATAATGAAGACAGGTAAATCACATATTTTACTCAGTTACTAAAAGAACAAAAAAGAAAAAACAAAAACAAGCCAAAAAAATCCCCAAAAGACTAGAAAATAACCGGTCACTATCTTTCATTTTCCTTTTCATTGGTTTTGTAAAATAGATGCTTGTCTGTGGGAACGACAGGAAGGGGAGGACTGAGCAGATACTAGGATTAAGTCTTCATTCAAGATTAGAGGGAGAGAGACCCCCAGGGGAAAACTAATGGAACTTAGAGAGGAAAACAGGAGTTCAATGAGCTTCTGCAACAGAGTCTGGAGGTTGCTTTGGATCCAAAAGCCCTCCCCTTCTCTTGGCTACCCTAAAAAATGGTACCTTTGGTCCTCTTGAAGTTGTCAAGTTTACACTCTAGACCTTCCACTGCTGACACAGAGTGGCTTCTAGGTAACCCCCGTTTTGCCGATCTCTTTGAAGGAGAAATCATTTCCTGGTTGAAGAGATTTCTTCGAACTTTGGTCACTTCTGGAAAAAAAAAAAAAACAAAAAAACAAAGCATCTAATATTATCACTAATATGTGCCATATCTGGGAAAAGAAAGATACTCAGAGGCTGCTTAAGGAAAGTATTCTATAGACCGACTTCTATATTCACATTTACTAATAGGATTTCCTTAAATATTATATTCACATGGTGCATTCAAACTATTTAGTTTTAGAAATTCAGTTTGGGGACACCTGGGTGGCTCAGTGGCTAAGCGTCTGCCTTTGGCTCAGGGTGTGATCCCGCAGTCCCAGGATCGAGGCCCACGTCAGGCTTCCTGCATGGAGCCTGCTTCTCCCTCTGCCTGTGTCTCTGCCTCTCTCTGTGTCTCTCATGAATAAATAAATAAAATATTTTAAAAATTAAAAAAAAAAAAAGAAATTCAGTTTCAATCCAACTTTTCATAAGGAACATAAGGAAGGCCATCGCTTAAATTGGAGGCTATCCTCATTGTAAAGTGGATACAATCCTTAAGAGACTGGCTAATGTAGATCAGGGTCTTTTTTTTTTTTTCTTCCTAAAGATTTTATTTATTCATGAGAGACAGAGAGAGAGGCAGAGACACAGGCAGAGGGAGAAGTAGGCTCCCTGAGAGGAGGTGGGACTTGATCCCAAGATCACCACCTGAGCCAAAGGCAGATGCTCAATCACTGAGCCACACAGGTGTTCCAGGGTCATTTTAATAAAAGCCAGTGTTATGAGGATTTTCCTCACTTTTGGCCTTTTAACTGCTTTGTATTCAGCTTAGCTCCAAGGAGAAAACTGTTCCTTCAATTCCACAAATCTTTCTTCTTAGGATATTTTACCAATCTACTAGGTTATTTTAAATGCTCTTCCTGACTCCAGAGCATGGGAATTTGTGGCCATTTAGACTCAAAGTTAGGAGAAATAGCTTCAGAGTCAAAAATTACTTGACAAAGCCAGCAGGGTGGCATGTTAATCTGAAGCAAGACAGCCTACTGAAGGCTCCTCAAACCTCACCAAGGATAAACTCTTCTGAGAGCAGGTCACTTAAATACAAATCAAACTAGCCATGATCCACAAGCTGGGAGGAGCCCTTATATTACCCACCGGGACCAACATTATTATTAAGGACATCAATAATACCCAAGTTAAAAAAAAAAAAGTGCCTGAAATGAATTTATGACTTGACAGCCAAATTTGATTTGCTACTTTGTTTTCCCAAGTTTTTTAAAAGTTTAATATTGAAAGTTTCAAAGAATACATCACACAGAGAATCATCACTAAAATCCACTGTCAACATATGTTTTCTCCCTCCACCTCTCTCTCTCTACATTTACACAATTCTTGCCATATCCAAGCACGGCATGGTAAGGTGGGGACATCTCAACCCTTCAGTTCCCTGTACTTCAGCACAGATCTCCCAAAAACAAGGGCAAGTCACTCAGCATACTATCCAGCTTCCCATTTCTCTCATGGTCTCATGAAAGACCCTGTCCTCCTGGAAGTTAAGATCCAAACAGGGATCACCTAGTGCATTCAGCTGCCACACTTAAAGCGCTTTCATCTAAACCAGTTTATCACTGCTTCTTTTCCTTTTTGTGGCTTTCATAATAATGGTGTTTTTAAAAAAAGATTTCTGGCCAGAGATTTTATAGAATGCAATATTTTGAGACTATGTATGTGACTCTTATTCTCCTAGCACATGGTATTTGGATATAATTAACGATTCATATAATCATACAAAATTCTAATTTATAACTGTATACAGTTGCTAAAATAAATGAAATTAAACTAAGTTTGTCATGCTAGTTAATAAATCTGTGCGCTAGGAGAGTACAGCTTACCTTGTACTGGATCTTTCACCGGAAGTGGAGGCTGCTGAACAGTAGAACGAGAGGTCTCCTAAAAGAGGAGTAAATTGGCATTCATTTAAAAGAATAAGAATTCCACGTGAAATCCTCTGACCCTTGCAGTTTCACTTGTAGGAATCCCTAACAGAAACACTTGTAAAATGCACAAAAACATGGGATCCCTGGGTGGCGCAGCGGTTTGGCGCCTGCCTTTGGCCCAGGGCGTGATTCTGGAGACCCCGGATCGAATCCCACGTAGGGCTCCCGGTGCATGGAGCCTGCTTCTCCCTCTGCCTGTGTCTCTGCCTCTCTCTCTCTCTCTCTCTCTCTCTCTCTCTCTCTGTGGGACTATCATAAAATAAATAAAAATTAAAAAAAAATGCACAAAAACAGATATATGTTCCAAGGACACTGAAGCCTGCATTGTAACATAAAATAAAAAACACCTCAGTATCCATAGAGTGAAACAAATTTTGATACATTCATCCAATGCAGACATTAAGAGATCAGGAAGACTTCTAGAAATAGAGAAAGAAGACCTATCTATGTACACAGAAACAAGCTCATGATGGGGATAAAGGAAAAAAGAAAAGTAGAATAAGTACAGCAGGTTTGTACAACCTTTTTTTTTCCTAAGATTTTATTTATTTATTCATACAGACACAGAGAGAGAGAGAGAGGGGCGGAGACACAGGCAGAGGGAGAAGCAGGCTCCATGCAGGGAGCCCCACGTGGGACTCCATCTTGGGTCTCCAGGATCATGCCCTGGACTGAAGGTGGCGCCAAACCGCTGGGCCATCAGGGCTGCCCTGTACAACTGTTTTTAATGCGTATATGTGTGTATGACAGATGACACCTTTGATGTGTGCTACTGCTGTATATATAGAAAACAACCTGGGACAGACACAGCAAACGGTCTTCAAGAATTATTTTCTGGGGACATCGGGGAGGCTCCGCGGTTGAGTGTCTGCCTTCAGCTCAGGACATGATCCCGGGGTCCCAGGATCAAGTCCCACATCGGGCTCCTTTTGGGGAGCCTGCTTCTCCCTCTGCCTATGTACCTGCCTTTCTCTCTCTCTCTCTCTCTCAATAAATAAATAAATAAATAAATAAATAAATAAATAAATCTTTAAGAAAAATTATTCTTTGAAGAATGAATGGAGGAGGGACACTTTCTTTTTTTTTTTAAGATTTTTAAATTTATTTATTCATGAGAGAGAGAGAGAGAGGCAGAGACATAGGCAGAGGAAAAGAAGGCTCCCCACTGAGAGCGTCATGTGGGACTTGACCCCAGGATCAGGACCTGAGCTGAAGGCAGACACTCAACCACTGAGCCACCCAAGTATCCCCCTTCTTCACTTTTAACTTTATAGGATTTTCTATTTTTTTCATGATGATTACGTATACCTTTTATAACTAAAAAATAAGGGAAAACCCATATATATTAGAGGATGACTTCTCTTAAGAACTTATCTGTATTAATGTATTTGCTACTCAATAGTCAAAATTTAGATGCATCTAAACAATGGAATTGTTTTTAAAGCTTTTGTTTCTTTCCAATTATGCCAATGCACTTCTTGAAGCAGGAACTACCACATAAAGGCTGACTTAAGGAGTGCTAGAAAGGACTGCAAATCATTGTTAACATCTAGAGAGAGGAGGGCTGACACCTTTGTGGCCATCCACTTCTGGATTTCCCCACTCTAAATAGGATTCCAAGATAACACGAGATTTGCCTCTTTTTCACTTACATTTAAGGCATGGTAAGGAAGTGAACACCACTAACTCTTAAAACAACCACACTTCCAATTCCAAAAGACAGCTATCAATCTCTAGAAACAGTGCAAACCACTGCTGAGATGACTAATGCTGCTAAAGCTAGTTCTTACAGAATTAACTCTTCTCAGTTCATGCAGTTCAAAAAGTTTCAACACATTTTGTCTCCTTCCTTTCCAAGACATCAATTCAATTTAACAGACTCCAGCTGGGTTTTTCTTTTTTGCAACCAACAAAGCCTCAAGTTCTCACATCTACTGCCACCAAAATAACAGCAACCACCCAGCTTCACCACAGCCATCCCCTGCCCCACCTTACCAAAGTAAAACGCACTGATACCTTCTGGTCTGCAACCAAAGTCCTATTATGGTGCACATTCTTTTTCAATAGTCTCTTTGCCTAAGTTATTATTTTGAGTTTTCTTATCTCAAGATTTTTTTTTTAATCTCAAGATTTTTAATGAACTTATTTGCTCCTTTGTTTTTCTTTGTATCATCTCTACCATCATACTTTTGAGTAAGATGGTTTATGTTTAACAAATTTATAGTTCTCTAGTTGTTGCATGCCGGCTGAATACTTGTTCATAAAAACATGTTGTTTTATTTCTGTATCATCCACTGTCCACTTCCTCAAAGTAGAAACACTGCCCTTTCAAGCTTATTTATTGCATCAACCCATGCTGGAAGAACAGATCTGGTAGCACTATTTCCTGTCCCTTAGAAATAACTTACGTTTTTTGTAGCTCTCTTAGACACTTTGGGGATCTCAATTTGTCGAAGATTCTGTGAAACCTCTGCAATGCTTTTATGTCTTATTAATGCAGTTTTCCTTTTAAAAATAGAAACAACCAATATACATTCAACAGAGGTTGTGAGTAAATTTGAAAAGAATCAGAGTTGAAAATAAAATAGTAATTAAATGAAAATCAGTTATCTTGGCATTAGTCTGAATTTGTAGCAAAACATGCCAACCTCCCAATTTCCAAACCTTAACTACTATAAATTCAACTAGTTATGAACAATGAAGGGCATCAAAGAAAACAAAAAGTATGCTGAAGCTCTAAGCTTATCTCATAAAAAGCTCCTAGCTCCTGGAGACCCCATGTGGACAGGCAAGAAGGGCAACGTGGACTATGTAATTGATACTGTATATTCTCTGGATAATAAGAAGGGTGCCAGACACTGCATGTTAGGAATGCCAACAGATGGCTTCTGGGATTCAAACAGAAGGGCAACTAGTAATTCAAGGAATTCTATACCAAGCCAACCACCCTCTGTCAGAACTACAAAAGTGCAGGTAATTCCCTCAATTCCTTGAGCTCCTACCTTCTCTTCTTAGCTGATCTGGTACGAAGCTCTTCCAACTGATCAAATTCAGTGCCACCCAACACTGACTTATGAGCACTTGACAGAAGAGGCACAGAAAGGAGGGGTGATATGTTCTCTTGTGTCACGGAGTCATCACTGAAAAAATCTAGAGGAAGGACACCAGCCAGCTTCTGTGGAATCATAAACCCTAGGCTGTCATAAAGGTTTCCAAGTGTCTTCGGGATGGAGTCAATATACCTATGGAATAGATTGGTTAAATATGCAACAGTCACCGTTCCACCCTTCCTGTTCCATCCCTCATCTTTATGACATGAGAAACAGCCTTTACAATTTCATAATTCTCACATAATACCACATGTAGTTCCAGGTAAAACTGTTCTAAAGCTAGTAGTCATCAAACTCACAATCCCAAAATTTCTTCCAGGAACTTTGCTAGGTATGCCGAATCCTCAGTTAAACACACCATGCGCAGCAAGTCTGTCACCTGAAGAAGATATTTGAAAATTACCATGCTTTCTGCAGGGAAGCTTTCAGGCTTATTTCCAGCGGCACTAAGTTATATACTTGCCTCCTTCACCACCTGCTCCATCTCAACGATGCTTTCATGTATAGAAGGGCACTGCAGACACAGCTCCAAACGAAGAAATACCTGAAGCTGGCACCTTGACAGAAAAAAATACTTGGTCTGATATATCTTGAGTGCCATTTTACTAAAAGCTCCTTCCTTAAGCAAAGATCTCTTTACATAAGAACCAACAACCAAGAAGAAGAGCCACTGCTTTCTCCAAATGATGATATGGTTATCAGGTAAATAAGTAACTCAAACTACACATAAGAACACCACAAAGAATCAGCCACAAAAAGCCTTAATTAGCAAATGGCAATCTAGTTTGATGTATTTATTTATCAATTTATCAATCAATTTAAAATTCATCCAAGTAAATCTTGGAGCTGTTTTGGAGTGACAGTAAAAAAACAAGTAAATAAATCAAGGTAGTTACTTACTCTCTGACTTTATCTTCATCCAGTTTTCCCCCTAGATTCTGTCGAAGACTTTTGCTAGTTTTTAAGAGGCTATTTTTTACTTGATTCAGGCAGGTCATCTGAAAATACAAAATTATTACACAAGAGAATATTGTGTTACTTATTATTTCTAATTTATTTCACAACTGATTAATGCCCTAAGAAGGGAAGTACATTCCCTTATGAATTGCTTCCTTATTTCACTTGAATGGAAAATAGTGAAATGAGTATCTGGGGCACCTGGGTGGCTCAGTCAGTTGAGCCATCCAACTCCTGGTCTCAGCTCAGGTCTTGGTCTTGGGGTTGTGGGATCCAGCCCCACATTGGGCTCCATACTTGATGCAGTCTGCTTGAGATTCTCTCCCTCTCCCTCCACTCATATGTTCTCACTAAATAAATAAATTCTTAAAAAAAAAAAAGAAAGAAAAAGAAACATTCTTTCATATCTTCAAAAGGAATACGGTAAGTATTTAAGAGAAAGGGGTATTGGAGGGCATCTGAGTGGATCAGTGGTTGAGCATCTGCTTTGGTTCAGGTCATGATCCTGGGATCATGTCCCACACTGGGCTCCCAACAGGGAGCCTGCTTCTCCTTCTGCCTATGTCTGTTTCTCTGTGTCTTTCAAGAATAAATAAAATACTGGGGATCCCTGGGTGGCACAGTGGTTTGGCGCCTGCCTTTGGCTCAGTGCGCGATCCTGGAGACCCGGGATCAAATCCCACGTCGGGCTCCCGGTGCATGGAGCCTGCTTCTCCCTCTGCCTGTGTCTCTGCCTCTCTCTCTCTCTCTGTGTGACTATCATAAATAAATAAAAAAAATAAAAAAATAAAAAAAAAGAATAAATAAAATTCTTAGAATAAAAAAGAAAGAAAAAAAGAAGGGGATGAGGCATACATACAACAAGCCTACATATCTGACCTTTCTTAAAAAAAAAAAAAAAAAATCCCTAACAGAGTAACTGAGAAATCTAAGGACTATAGGGGAATCTGGATGGCTCAGTTGGTGGAGCATCCAACTCTTGATCTCAGGGTTGTGAGTTCAAGCCCTGCACTGGGCATGGAACCGACTTTAAAAAAAGTAATTAAGGATTAAACAACTCCTATCCATTTATTTTATTTATTTTTTAAAAAAGATTTTATTTATTTATTCATGAGAGACACAGAGAGAAAGAGGCAGAGACACAGGCAGAGGGAGAAGCAGGCTCCATGCAGGGAGCCGGACATGGGACTCAATCCTGGGTCTCCAGAATCATGTCCTGGGCTGAAAGCGGCGCTTAACTGCTGAGCCACCCAGGCTGCCCCTCCTATCCATTTTAGAAGAGGCAGCTGGCTTTCACCACTAACCATGAATAAAGACAATGATAGTACAGTCTAAACCAGTGGTGTGCAACACTCTCTGTGCAAAAGAATCATCTAGCAAGCTTTTTATAAGTTCCTATGACCAGGACCCAAGCCCCAGAGATCCGTTTCAGTTGGTCTTGAGGAAGCCAGGCACCAGCATTTTAAAAGAATGTTCTAAGTGACTCTGGGGAAGAACCACTGGCTTGATACAGCTATCATGCAGTGGAGGACAGAGATTTCGTTAGAAAACAAGTACATGTTATTACCACTCACCTGGCCTGGTTCCTGAGTTTCTGTCTTACCAGTTTCACCATGTCTACCTTCCAAGGTCTGGACTTATGTTCACCTTCTTGCTTAATCTTACTTGTGAACCACACATCACATAATAGTCACTTCCCAGGACAAATGAACCAAACCCACCAGTGAGCAACCAACCATTCCATCTATGACAGCAGCATCCATACTCTCTTACTTCTAATTCCTTGGTGCCCTTGGACTTTAGGAACGCTTTAATGGTTGAGATCATATTCCGAGCACATGAATGCAATGTGATTTCTCCTGCAGCCACAGTCTTTTGGTAATTTTCATGTATGTAAGATAGGAGGTCCTCTTCTGTTTTAAAATCTGTGAAAAAAACAACCAAACTGATCATGACATCCAACTGAAGTCATTGTACTGTTTAAGCCAGTGGTTGTCAACTAAAATTTTGCCTCCTGGGGGACACCTGGCTTTGTTTGGGTTACCAGACTGGCAAGGTGGATGCTCTTGGCATCTAGTGAGCAGAGGCCAGAGACCCAGGGACGCTGCTCAATATCTCCTAGCACAAAGGACAGCCCCCACAACAGAGAATGATCCCACCCAAAACGTCAATAGTGTAGAGGCTGAGCAATTACAGAGATGGTCATTTTAACGCTTTGCAAATCAAGTGTGCATGTTATAAATTTAAGGATAACCATTAACGGAAAATACACTATAGGGGTGCCTGGCTGGCTCAGTTGGTGGAGCATGCAACTCTTGATCAGACAGATGTGAGTTTGAGCCCCACTCTGGGTGTAGAGACTACTTAAATATAAAATCTTTAAAAAAACCCACCATAACTATATAACCTCCAACCTAACAGAAAGAAAAAAGAGGAATAAACAAAACTTAATCCCATAGCCTGCTAAAAAGGAAAAAAACTTTAGAAAGTACAAAATAAGACACCAAATACCATCCAAGCTTATCAGTAATTATAAACATTTATTTTACAAATACACTTGCTGGGTAAAAGGTAGAAACTATCAGATTGGATTAAGAAATTTCCTTACATGATATGTGCCAGGAAATAATAAGAGTATCAATGAAAACAGAATATGGCAAACTTGTATAATGCAATTAAATTTATAATTAAAGGAAAATTCATAGACTTAAGTAATCTTTCAACAAAGAAAAAATAAAAACCAATTAGCTGAGGGTCCAACCCAAGAAATGATATGAGTTACGGTAAGCCCTCAAAATAAAGGCAATGATAAAGATAGGAACAAAAATGAATAGGAAAAAAAAATAAGAAACAAGAGATGTCAACAGAAACAAAAAAATGATTCTCTGAAAAGCCAAATACAGAAACCAATAGTAACACTGAGCCATTTTGAACAAGGGAAAGCATAAATAAGCAATATTAAAATGAAAAAAATAGAGCAAACATTTGAAATAACTAGTAAGAGGCAAGGTTGAAGTTCATTTTCTCCATAAAAGCACTCATTTATTTCAGCACATTTGCTGAAAAGATTATCCTTTGCCCACTAAATTACTGGGGCACCTTTGTCAAAAGCCAATGTGCCACTGTCAGACAGTTCTATTTATGCTCAGAATCTAGTCCAGAAACTGTGTTAATTATAGCACATGGTCTTGAGTGCTGTTAATTATGCTCCCCCTTGAATGGACCATCCACATCCTCAAATACTTCTACTAGCTCATTAAAGATGCTCTGTCTCATTCAAACTGATGATCATCTATGAATCTAGCATTCCACAGGCAAAAAAAGAAGGAAGGAAGGAAGGAAGGAAGGAAGGAAGGAAGGAAGGGAGGGAGGGAGGGAAAAGAAAGACCAAAACTTTCAAGGAGCAGAAAAATTTTATTCCAGAATTCTCAAAAGATATCAAAGGTGACATTATGCAGTTACTGCTCAAGGTCCATAAGCTATCTTTACAAGTCCTCTCACAGGATTGGCTCTGGCAGCGTTAACTAAGAAGGCGCCCTGAGAATGAGAAACCCACTGCAATTCTATCCATTTTTTAGAAAAGAAATAAAGAATAGGAAAATTAACGTTACTGGATGAAATTCTTCCTCCCAACTCTCAAAGATTGCAATACCCTACAGCACTCACAAAGTTTTTCCCTTTCTCTTTATTCCTAAATGTATAAAGCTTCTTTAACCATATATTCTACGGCCACGCCATGGCCCCTCTTGTGACTTTGGCATATGCCTATTCCCCATCTGGCACACTCTCTCTTATCTTCCTGTCATCTCAACTCTGCTCTCTCCTCAATGGCTAGCCTAGGCTCCACTGACTCTTCAGAAACTTCCTCAACCTGCTCCAGCCCAAGGCTGACCTTCCCATTCTCAACTCTTACTGTCTTTACTTCCCCAACAAGCAAGTCTTTCCTGTTGTAGATTCTTGGCTCTCTTATGTATTACGTTCATTAGTTTACTATGTATTTTATACATGTCTGTGTGCGTATATGTCTACACATATGAATTATCATCATCATCTTTGTGGTTGGGATAAACTGAGAACAGGACACAACCTTACTTTTATCGTATTCCCCATAACACACTTTGGGGAATGCAGCAGACATTTGATAAATGTTCGTTAATTGAGAGACAGGATCAAAACTTATAAAAAATTGAGGGTATGAAAGAGCAAACATGGCCTTAACCCAAAAGCAATGGAATTGAGGAATACCTTTAGGCTTAGAGCTTCTTAGTATCCTTCCTCGGTTTTCCAGTTTATCTGCTGTCCTTCGACTCCCCTTCTCCCCAGCTGCATCTGGACTGCCATCCGGACACAACTTCTGAGCCTTTACATTCAGCCTCGCAACATTCAACATCTTTAAAGAGCGGCACATGGTATTCATTTTCTGCCTCACTGGAGTACGAGGGACCCCACCTATGGAAACAGCATCATGGGATGAAGAGTAAAATAGCTTTTACTTCTGCAGAATTAGGAGCCACTTTAATTCAGATTTAATATTCTGTGAAAAAATACTGAAATAAAGTATATCCCTTCAGGATGATCTGAATTAGGTGGTTCTTCCAACTCTTTGTAGCTACAATATAGAGTAGAAAGTTCTTCTTTAAAATTAAGTTTAGGAACTAAACACTGCAACAGGATCAGATGATTTTCAGTAAGGTAAATGCCAAATAGCTCCATTTCGGTGATCCCTCATGGTCAGAGTTGTGAGGAAGCTTCTGAAGGGCCACTGAGCAGTCTTCATCAAAAGCTACTTTTTCCCACTTTTTGACCCTGACAACTTATTCTAATGAAGCCGCTCAAAGAATAAATCATGCATGATGTACACTACGGTATTATTTATAATAACAAAAACTGAAAACAATCTGCTCAATAATGTAAGAATTTCATAAATTTCGTGACGCAATGAGGTGAAATAGTAACTAAAAAGGCAAGGCAGATTAGTATTTATGAGTAGCACACAAAGTTGTATTTATATTTCTGTTATAAGTAAAAATCGAAATGGTTTATTAAGAAGGTAGGATTATGGGCAATTTTTAACATCACTTTTGTATTAATGTAATCATTCTCAAATTTGAAATCTAAGAACTCATCCTTCTCTTATTCAGTTACCATTTCAACCTCATTTCAGGGAATGCCAGTCTTCTAAAACATACACACTCAAAAAAGACTGCCTCAAGAAAAAGTCTGTGTGCATACGTTTCTTTTTGCTGTCTTCCTGATTGGATACACTGGATTCCTCCCGAGACTTTCTTTGGTAGAGCTCCGACAGGCAACACGTTAATTCACTTTCAGTTTTGGAAGACTCTTCCTTATTAGATGAGGCAGCCTGTAGTAACCTGTGAAGAAGGCAAGAGGTCTAGTATAAAGCTGAAATTCTGGTTTTTCCAAAATGCTTTAATAATGCATTATCCTTTTAAAAGCTAATCAAAAGACGTCTGCACAAGAAGTCTTCAAAAATGTATCTTCTCAAAACAAAAACAAAAACAAAATAAAACAATATCTTCTCAGGAGGGAAATGTCTGTCTCTTCTCAGGATTTAAACACTTGGGGGGGAGGGGTGGCCTGGATGGCTCAGTGGTTTGAGTGTCTGCCTTCTGCTTAGGTCATGATCCCTGGGTCCTGGGACCAAGTCCCACATCGGGCTCCCTGCAGGGTGCCTGCTTCTCCCTCTGCCTCTCTCTCTGTGTCTCTCATGAATAAATAAATAAAATCTTTAAAATAAATAAATATTTAAAAATAAACAGACTCAGGAACAGAAAATATCTGTTCTTAAAATCAGTAATCATTACATGTGGTACTGACAGCTTTATTAATAAGATTAAAGATTTTACATATTTATTTGAGAGAGAGAGAGAGAGAGAGAGAGAGAGAATCTGAAGCAGACTCCACAATGAGCACAGAGCCTGACACAGGGCTCAATCCCACAATGGTGAGAGCATGACCTGAGCCAAAACCAAGAGTCAGACACTTAACTGATTGAACCACCCAGGTGTCCCTATTAATAAGATTCTTAATGTCCTCAGGTATATGTCTAATGAAACTTTTCCAGTTATTTTTTACTCAGTGTCCAAACATTAAAGTATAAGATGACATAACAGTATAATAAGTGTCACAGCAGCTTCTAAAGAATTCTTTCAGGGATCCCTGGGTGGCTCAGTGGTTTAGCATCTGCCTTTGGCCCAGGGCATGATCCTGGAATCTCGGGATCGAGTCCCGCATCAGGCTCCTGGCATGGAGCCTGTTTCTCCCTCTGCCTGTGTCTCTGCCTCTCTCTCTCTCTCTCTATCATGAATAAATAAAATCTTTAAAATAAATAAATAAATAAATAAATAAATAAATAAATAAATAGATAGATAGATAAATAAATAAATAATTCTTTCACATCATAGTATAAACTAATTTGGGATTGATGAGAAAGGGAGAAGTGGGGCAGAGGGGATGATTGGTTATTAAATGCTTTTCTGCCTAGGGCTACTATCAGTCACTAAGCAAACTAGGAAACTCACCCAACTTTCAAAATGTATTACTTGTATTTTACTATCTTCCATTTTGTGATATGATTTGATTTAGAGGAGAGTTATGGTGACATTAGTTGAATCTGCTGGGACCCTCGGGTTCACATGTGCAGCAGATCTAAAGCAGACTGTCCCTAAGTGTGCTGGGATTACCTTTTACTGAGGGGTTTTTCTTTCTGTTAATTTTTTAGAACTTCTGAACTTTTCAAATACACAGAAAAGTAGAGAAAGCATTATTAGATATGTACCCCTCAGCAAGACTAAATACTTGCTAACAATTTACCCTTTCTATTTCAGACTGTTTTAATGAAATTACACATTATACATAGAAAAGTCCCAATCTTTTCCTATACCTTCTTTCCAGAGGTTTCCTAGACGCGTGTCTTTTATAGAGACATACTTATGTATCAAAGCCAACATAAATTGCTATTATACATTCTAAGTTTTTAAAAATATCATACATCATCCTTTTGCAATTTTCTGTCTGTACTCCACATATTTCTCATGAGCATATAAACAGCTCTAGTTTATTCAGTTTACTAATCTATAATATTTTATCATATAACCACAGTTTGTTTATCCACTTCCCACTGAGAGACAGCTGGTTCTTTCCACTTTTTCACTTTGAATGACTGGCAATGAACAACTGAGTATATCTCTCTCATTTGTACAAATACTTCTTTAACAGAAACACATACAGGTGGAATTGCTGGCTGTCAGTATGTGACGTTTCTGCTCCACTAGGAATACAAACTGCTCTCTGAAATGGTTGCAGCCATTTACAATCCCATCATCCACAGTGTTCTTACTTTTCTGTGTGCTAGATCAGAATTATTGACCTGGGACAATCTAATGGGTATAAGATAGAATCTTGTGGGGTTTTTCTTATTGGAGTTTTCATTTTGATTTGCCTAAACTGAGCATTATTTTTTTTTCAAGTAAGTTCTATGCCCTTCCTACAACTTTCAAGTTTTCACATTTGTTTTTTAAAATGTATTAGGAATTTATCACTGTGTATGCTGTGAGGTAGAAATCTAATTTTTATCTTTTTTTCTTCTGGAGAGCCAATTGCCACACTGCCATTTATTAAACAGTCTATTCTTTCCCAGATTTATAATTCTGCCTCTGTCATATACCAAGCTCCCATACAAGTGTGGGTCATTTTGGGGGCTCTCTAGGGTTGCATGGGTTTCTCTGTCAATCACTGCACCAATACCACACTGCCTTACTCATTAGAGCTTTACGGTAAACACTGCTATCATAGAGGGGAAAAAGCACCTGTTCTGTCTTAGCCCTTTTGAGTTGTACTGTGTTCATGAATCAGAAGACTCCTTATTAAGTCAATTATTTCCAAATTGACCTATAGACTCAGTGCGCTCTTGGTCAAAAATCCCAGTAGGCTTTTCTGGTGGAAATTAACAAACTAATTCTATAATTTACAGTGAAATGCAAAGGATCTAGTATAGTCAAAGCAATTCTGAAAACAAAACAAAGTTGCAAGGACTAAGACTACCTGATTACAGTACTCCAGATAATGTGATATTAACAATTTCTGGACTAGATTCTTTTCAGAAATAGACCTGTAAGATGGTGGTGAATGGATTCTGACAAAGGTACCACAGTAATTCGGTGAGCAAAAGATTATCTTTTAGCAAATGGTGTTTGAACAAATGGTTATCTCTATAGCAAAAATAAATCTTCACTTTATCTCTTAATACTATTTTTTAATTTCTGCTTTATCTTTTAGATTTCTTTTTTTTTTTTTTTAAGATTTATTTTTTTATTTTAGAGAGAGTGCACCCAGGGGATAGAGGGCAGGGGGAAAAAGAGAATCTCAAGCAGACTCACTACCAAGCACAGAGCCGCATGTGGACTCAATCCCATTACCCCAAGATTAACACCTAAGCCAAAATCAAGAGTCAGTAGCTTAACCAAGTCACCCAGGCACCCCTCTTCCACATTTCTAATATGGTTTGTGTCTTGAAAAAAAGAAAATTGCTCGATTTTGTTATAGATTATTTTACTTGGCTTCTCAAGGAATCACTTTAGGTTTGTTGATTTCTACTGTTTCTGTGATTCATATTTTTCTTATCTTTATTACGGTCTTGTTTTTTGGGTTTATTATTCTCTTGTGTTATTTCCTGTACTGAAACCTTAGTTAATTGATTTTTTAACTTTTCTTCCTTAAAAGATAGTTTAAGCTCTATAAATCTTCCCTGACGTATAAACTTAGCTGCATATACAAATGTATTATTTTTCATTTTTACTGAGATTTAATACTAAATATTTTCTGACTTTCATAATGAGAGCATTTTATTTTTGTAATTAATTTTTTCCAATTTTTTTTTTATTGTGGTAAAATATACATCCCATGAATACATTCCATCCAATCCCTTTTAAGTACACAGTTCAGGGGTATTAAGCAGATTCCTAATGTTGTGCTACCGATACCTCCAACCATCTCCAGAATTCTCATCTTGTAAAACTGAAACTCTAAACTGAGTAAACAATGTGCTCCCCATTTGTAATTAGTTTTTAATGTTATTATTGAAAATAATACTAAGAAAACGTGATATGCTAAACAAACAAGCCCATATGTAGGTGAGAGCTGATTTTATCAATCAATATCCAGAGAAAAAAGTTTTACCAAAATGACTCCATCAAACTTGAACTGGCACCACTAAGGTTGGAGGAAGGAAACCACTTCTCCACAACAGCTGCATTCCAGGGATCAGTGCGGCCAAGCTCCTGTTGGGCCCACTCTGGAACAAGAGGAGCTATAGGGACAAGGGCAGAAATGGGAGAAAGGACAGAAAAAGAGGCATTAGGACCAAAGTGGTGAATTTAAGTGCTCCTCCCTCACACTGGTGGCATTCTTACAAAGGACACACAAAGCCACATCAATAACAACCTTCCTTCATCCGTACTACCAACTCCAATCAGCTTATGTTGTCTATGAAAAATGCTACTCCAATAACCCACAATTGCAGGTTTGTTCACATCCTCAAACAGAACAGACATGTACCCTTCTCAGAGTCTTGGTGCTTAGGGTTGCCTCTATCAGCAATGTTCTCTCCATACCACTTCCTTCAAGCCTTTGCTCAAATACTACTTTATCAACAAGACTGTTTAAAATGGCAACCCTCCCACCCGACACTTCCTATTCCTTTTTTCCTGCTTTATTATGATGGCACTTATCTCTTTCAAACATACTATGCAATTTCCTTATTTATTGTCCTATTTCCCCTGACTAAATGGTACACTATATAAGAACAGAGACTCTGGTCTATATTGTTCTCTGATATTCCCATCATTTAGAACAGTGCCTGCCATAGCAGTCACTCAATAAATCTGAATAAATGAAATAAGTATTAAATTGGTTATACTTACATATACCTAGCATAAATAAGGTTTGCATCATATTAGTGACAATTCAACAAATTGGAAGATAGACAGAATTATAATAATTTTATATGCAGTCTTAATTAAATGTATTAAAACAGGTTTCATCTTATACCTTTGATTTCAAACCAGTTTCACAGAGCTTTTAGACTCCTCAGAAGCACTTCAAAATTTCTATAAACGATGATGATTTAAATTGCCTAAAGTATTACTGTAGGTTGCTCTTATCTGTTTTATAATAGATATTGGGGTTTTACTAAGAGCACAGTGAAAAAAAATTCTGATGGCGGAAAAAACTATAAACCACTGTCCTGGAGTATCTAAGTTATTGGTTCAATAGCTTACCGCAGGTAGCTGGATCTTCAAGTGAATTGTGAATCTGATGTAATACAATATCCATAACATCAGAAAAAGGGGAAGCTGTATCCTGGGAGCTCTCTGCCACAACTGTCTGGAAAAAATGTCTTTGAAATTCAGCTTCCTCAATGCGGAACACAGTGAGAATTGTAGCATTGGTAGAGAGGGGGGAAATAACTCCTGTGATGGGGGGCCAGCCTTCACCAGGGTCCACGCTGGCAACCTATATCAGAAGTTCTAATTAGTTGAGAAGATTATTGACCTATGGCTAAGAAGTATGCAGCTTAGTAAAAAAAAAAAAATGATAGTATCCCCCAATGATTACTATTATAAAAGAGAAAACTGTGGAAAAGACAGGCTGGATAGGTATTAGTGCTAGAATTGAATTTAGTGACCATATAATGCTAATCTCTCAATTTACCAATAAGAAAAATCTAAGGTTACCAGGAATATTTACTAAGCACTTATTATGTGCCTATTATAACTGAGTCCTCACAACCACTCTGAGGTAAAAATGATTATTATATCCATTTTACAGAGGAGGAATTAAGGCTGAGGAATCAATAACCTCTTTCAGGTCACTCAGTAAGACACAGAAGGCAGGTGCATATGAATTCAAAACCCATGCTCTTAACCATGAGGCAATACTACCACTTAAGGGATTTACTCAGATCACAAGGTTGGGCAGCAGAGCTGAGACCAACCCAAACGGCCTGACTCCTGCCCCAAGTGCTCTTCCCATCAGAACACACAACTCTTAGAACATCAGTTCAGAGACTATACAGTTCTTCTCTAAATGTCTCACAATGGGATCCAGAAGATAGAAGCCTTCTGAGGTTACAAAGGCAAAAGACAAAGTAAGAAATTTGGTCATTTAAAAATAATCATCAATAAATAAATAAATAAATAATCATCACCTTTCAATCAAATCTGAGTATGTATGTATTTTTCAGAAGACATTTCTAAATTTGTATAACTAGTAAACACTATTAAATCTAATTTTACACTGTAGGGCTTTTTAAAAATGATATTATATAAAAATTTATAATAGAACACTTACAGAATAACGAGAAATCAGGCATTATTTCACCACCCTAAACTAATACTTGCATTCCATTCAGTCCACTACCTTTTCCCCCCCTGCTAATATAATTTAACTTCATTGGAATCAAGGTACAGGCAATTTTATAAGCTGTTTCTTCACTAATGAGCATTGTCACGATGCTACATGCATCACTGAAACTACGTTTTGTAGAACAATCCTTGGCATCTCATAAACACACTAATCTCACCTCATCAGTGTGCTTCTAGACCAGAAGAATTTAGCATGCGCCAGAAACCTACCAAGTGTACCTCGTCGGCAGTCAGTCTGCTTATCAGCTGCTGAAATAACATCCTTTGAGTTGATTTATTCTCCTCTGGACTTTGCAGCATCCAGCTATCAGTGCCCAAACTGCTACTTGCTGGGAGAGACCACTGGCTTGCTGTGCCTTTTAGAAAAATTCTGACTGGTTTCTGAAAATGTCTCTGATGCATGGCCAAGGGCTCTAGAGTAACTGTCCATGTTTCTTGAATCTCTTTCCCTATTAGAAATAAAGAATATTAAAATTTTAATGTAATAGTTACTAAAAACAGATTTAATAGTAAGAAAAAAAATGAGATTGTCAGTTGTGGTACTAGTATTGTCATTTCACACTTCAACCCTCATTCTACTGCCAACAGGCTAGTATAGCAAGTGCATTTCATTCTACAGGAAGAGCTATAAATGAACGGACAGTGAGGGTACAACTAAATGCTAGCACTTCTCAATAATTATGCCTTAGAAATAAATATTTAAGCAATGCTCATTACTTACAAAAAAATACATTATTGCTTCTTGAATTCATAAATACAATATATCACATCTTATGAGAATGTTAAATTCTAAAGATTATGACAAAACTGCTTACACAAACTACTCTTGAGATTTCCTTAAACTGCACATAATATATAACATAGTTTTATGTATACATCTCTATATGGTAGGACTCCTGTGTGAATATGGGATTCAGAAAGAAGATTCACTATACAGATCATACAATAAAACAAATTTATGAAGTCTAACATGGTAACAAGCACCATTTTTACAAACTGTTGACTAATTTATTGTTTCTTCTCTTCATCAATCATTGCTTCTCTGTGGTCTTCAATTTATCAGTCTTGTCTATGAGGCAGGAAATCTTGCCACCCCTTTGCTTAGGCACCTGAACAATATTACCTTCTTTGCAATAGCTGGAGAATTCTTTAAAAATCACTTGCTAGTTCTTTTTATAGGTGGGCTGGTAGTTATCCTGTGCCCGTGTTTACCACTTTCCTGTGGTACCTGATCCTGCACAGACATCTTAATTATAAGCATTCACTGAGTGCCTAGACTGTGGGAAACTCTAAAGAAGTGGAAAGGATGGACTTGCCTTGAAGAAATCAACATGCCTGAGACCATAAAGCCTCCCTCCCAAAAGAGTATCTGGTTACCTTCAAGAGGGAGAAATAACGTTCCTTCAGTCCGTGGAAATGAGGCTTCGTATGCAGGAGAATTATAGAGTAAACAGTTTAAAGTGGCATCAGGTGGCAGAATTGAAATCCATGAAGAGAGGGGAGATTCACTTGACAGGTTTTTTTCACCACCAAGCAGTATTTTCCCAGCTTTTGTACAATCCTGGCTGAAAGTTTCGGAGGGTAAGATAGTGCCTCCTACAAGGTGGAGCAGTTCACACATTGTCCAGTACCCAACGTGGTCCGGGGATTCCCACAACTAAAATAAAAATGACAACGAACCTCAGGTGGTTATAAACTGGGCATCCGGGTGAGACTCAGCTCTATAAGCCTGTGGAAACGAGCCTTGGAAATCCCTTTCACTGAAGATGGCACCGAAGGCAAAGAAGGAAGCCCCTGTCCCTCCCAAAACCGAAGCCAAAGCAAAGGCTTTCAAAGCTAAGAAAGCAGTTCTGAAAGGCGGCACAGTCACAAAAAAAGAAGATTTGTAAGGCACCTACATTCCTACGACCCAAGACCCTGTGTCCCCAAAGGCAGCCCAAATATCCTCGAAAGAGCGCCCCCAGGAGAAACAAGCTTGATCACTACGCCATCAAGTTCCCCCTGACTGAGTCAGCCATAAAGAAAATAGAAGACAACAACACACTTGTGTTCATGTGGATGTCAAGGCCAATAAGCACCAGATCAAACAGGCTGTGAGGAAGCTCTATGACATTGATGTGGCCAAGGTCAACACCTTGATCAGGCCTGATGGAGAGAAGAAAGCATATGTTCGACTGGCTCCTGACTATGATGCTTTATGTTGCCAACAAAATTGGGATCGTCTAAACTGAGTCCAGCTGGCTATAAATCTAAATGTTTTCACCATAAAAATAAATAATAAAAAATAATAATAAACAAACGGGGCATCCACAAATAAAGCTTGGGGAGAGCGGGAGAGAGTAAAGTTGATATCTACATTAAAGGATCAAATGAAATAATTACTGTATTTAAGCCAAACACAAATAATGGCTAGTATCCTGCTACTGTACAGCCTGCTCTCACTACTGCCTTCGTCATCTGTTGCCTGGATTCTTACTGTACAGCCACTGAAGTCTGTGTCCTGCTTCTAATCTGTCCTCCATGTTCTAAGTATTCTTCCAAATCACAAATTTGATCATGTTACTTCTCCAAATACTTTCAAGGGCTTTCCACTGCCTCCATGATAAAGTAACTCTTGGGCATAGCCCAGTCCTAAACAACCTTTCCAAAGACATTATCTTTCCCTCACCCATCACTACCTTCCAGGCACACTGAACCATTTACTGTTTCCAGAACACACCTAACTTATTTTCCACACTTTGGTTCATTCGTTCTGTTTCCCGTGCTTTCCCCCTCTTCTCCAACTTGGCTAATCTAGCTCAAATCCTGCTTTCTCTGTAAAAGTCAGTCTTTATTTCCTCACTGCAAAGTGTTCAATCTTCTTTTAACAAACTTTTATATACCATGGATTAGCAAGACCCAGTCCTGTCTTCTAAAATCTTAAAGTTGGGGATGGAGTGAGTAAAACAGCAATAGTAAGAAATATTTAACAGCACAATATAACATGACAATATTCAAGTAATATGGGAACATGATAGAAGTGCATCTACCCCAAAATACAGCTATTATGCTGGTTTACCTACTCTACAGGAGCTAACAACTGTAAACCATAGGTTGCTATGGAATGTAAGGTCTTCCAGGTCATCTCCAAACTTTTCCTTTACTCAAGTTTAAAAAGGGGCATAAGAGTGCTAAAGATCATAGCAAGACAAGGACAAACTGATCCAAGAACGATTTAGGATAGTGCTTTTAAAATAGGGGTCATGACCCTTTGATGGATCAATTGGCTCAAGATCAACAGCAAAAAACAAAAACAAAAAACAGAATAGAAAGTATAAGAGCCCAAAAGAAAATATCTCATAGTGTAGATAAACAATATATTGTAAAACTTTTGTTTCAGCTATGCATGCCAGTTTAGAAATTAATCAATTAATATGTGCTGTTAACCATTCATATGTCCTTGCCTGTGTTCATTGCTATGGGGGACAACAGTAAGCTGGCTCATCTACCAGAGATCCTGATTAGGAAGGATTTTCTGCCGAAGAGAAACAAAAAATTTGTTGAAGTTGTTAGAAATTCTGGCTAGAGGACATCCAGGAAAAAAAAAATTTATTTTATTTTATTTTTTTTTGCTTGTCAGCTGAAAGGTAAAGTTTTAATAAGAGTTGAAAAGATATCAACTTTTGATGAGAAGTAATATATGCACAGGTTTAAAAAAATCAGTATATAGAATATGGTTACATTTTTCACTTCTATGCATATTACAGATTAAGTGAGAGGAAAATCTTAGTGATAGTTTAAAATTTGGAGACTTATAAATGTCCACAAGACTATAAATTCAGGGGCACCTGGCTGGCTCAGTCAGTAGAGCATCTGATTCTTGATATCAGGGTTAAGTTCAAGCCCGACGTTGGGCACAGAGACTACTTTAAAAAAAAATCTTAAAAAAAAAAAAAAAAAGACTATAAACTCCAAGAGAGCAGGAACTACACGTGTCTGGTTCACTAATGGTACATCCAGCACATCTAGCAGATATGTAATAAATGGGTGAATAAATGAGAGGCATAAAGTCAAAAGCGTGCCAGTGATCTCCCATGCTCCCTTTTATCCTGCAAGAGTCCTGTGCTTGGATCCCTCCTCCCCTAGTCTGTGAGTTCACTTCTATTTCCTCCAGTTGTTTCCCAGACTGTGAGCTCCACAAGACAGGACATGGATTTTTCTCTACTCCTTACAGCAAGAGGTCTCCAAGGACAGAAACTAAAGCTCCCTTTTGTCTCCAGTGTGGCTGGGCAGAGGCTTTCCAAATAGGAAAAGATGAATCTTAACCAGGAAAAAAAAATCCCAGAAAAGTTTGATAGGCATTTTCTTAGGGGAAACAACATAGCAGATGTGAGAAGGAAAGCCTCAGAGAAGACCCATTCCCTCAGATGGTAGAATGTGAGAACTGAAAGAGAGCTTTAAAAAGATTCGGTCAATCTATTTATTGCAATGCTATTCCAAAAAGAGAAAAAGGAGAAAAATCTCCAAGCCCCATCTGCTAAGATTTATTTCTAGCCAGTTTCTGATATAATTCCAGAATAAAGTTTTTGGTGTGATTTGGTGTCAGTTATCCCAAATCAAGCAGTTAGGTCTTATGTACTATGTCCAAAACTTGATTTGTTGCTTTAACAAATTTTAAGTTCTAGAATTCCATTTTCTCAAATGTTTACAATCCCCTTGAAGACCTTTGTTCCTTTTCTTTGACAAGCCACTGCTGCCTTATTTTGGATTTACGATGTCTTTTTTGAGCTTTGTGTATGAAAGCATGTTGGAAATTTTAACATTGTATTATCATTCTTTAAGTACCTGCTCATTTTGGCTCCATAGCTCAGTGGTTAGAGCACTGGTCTTGTAATCTTGCAATTTAACCCACTCCTAGTTTAATGACATGTGTTTCCAATAAGTGGAAACACATGCCCACTTATTTGACCTGGTTAAGCCACTGCCCAGCAATTAGAAGAAAATGCGTACTTTTACTGTCTAGAAAAGGACATGTGCTTTCTGAAACAAACTAAGCTTATTTTCAGTTCAAATTTTTATACCTGCTCTTTGCCTGGAATGTTCTTTCCCAACCTTCCTGTTCCTCCTGTCACCTCCTCTGCTCATAGAGCACTCCCGACCCTTTATACAACAGTCCCCCACCCTTCTACCTTTTCCTGCTCACCTGTTTATTCTTATCTGTTTAATGTATCTTCCTCACTAGAAGGTAAACCACCTCAGCTGACCACCACACCCCTCCACAGCTCTAACAGTATAGTGGGCACTGGATGTAATGGCTTCTCAATGATTTTTTTCTAAGATTTTATTTATTTATACTTGAGAGATACAGAGAGAGGCAGAGACATAGGCAGAGGGAGAAGCAGGCTCCCTGCAAGTAGCCCCATTTGGCACTTGATCCCAGGACCCCAGGATCACCACCTGAGCTGAAGGCAGACACTCAACCACTGAGCCACCGAGGCATCCCTCTCAATGACTATTTGTTCACTAAATGAAGATGACAGAAGGAAAATGCTGAGGGTAAAAGTACATACTTATCTCTGTGTACTTAACGGAAGCAGAGCTCCCATTGGCTCAATAGAGATCTAAATGAGCCATTTACCATTGTAAGTACCCAAATTCATTCCACTAGTCAACATTTACTGAACACTTACAATGTTCAGCGACATGCATCTGCAGGGAATACAAAGGTGTGTGTGTGTACCTGCCTTTGAGGTATTTTTAGACTAAATGAAAGGCGATTTGCACAATTGGAACCTATAACCCGGAAAGGGTAGGTGCCACAAAAGTGCATGGAAATTCAGTTGAGGCTGAGTAGTTGCCACGGGGCAAGGCATTAGAGAGGAGTTTAAACAGGCATAGCAGAGTGAGCGCTGGCATTCAGGGTGACTGGTAAGACAGAACAAGCAGTCAAGATTTGTTGAACGACTAGAGGATGCTTCAATAATATGCTGGAGGGGGAATCCCTGGGTGGCTCAGCGGTTTAGCACCTGCCTTCCGCCCAGGGCGTGATCCTGGAGTCCCGGGATCGAGTCCTGCATCGGGCTCCCTGCATGGAGCCTACTTTTCTCTCTCTCTCTCTCATGAATACAATCTTAAAATAATAATAATAATAATATGCTGGAGGATTCGTAGGAAAAATAGAACCGGGGAAGGCAGACAGGACCCAAATTATGAAGGACCTTAAATGCTGGCCTTAGGATGTACCAAGGATCTACTTACCTATCGTCCCAGTTCGTAATCACAGGACTCTCTTTCTGAAGGAGACACACGCTGGTCGTGCTAGTCTCGTTCTGGGTCTTCCCACCTCTGCGCAGACGCCGCCAGGTCCCGGTCAGCCAGCAGGACACCGCGCACCAAGTCAGAGCTCACCGCGAACTTACCTTAGGCCACTCGGTGGTATCCAGCCAGTACAAGGTGATTTTTCGGGCGATCATGACTTCCTGGACTCTCTTGGGCAGCAGCTTCTCCATCACCTGCCTCGGGGGAGGCGGCAGGCGCTGGGCCTGGGCCTCGCAGCCGGACACGAACTGCAGCAGCTCCCTCTGCGAATGCGGACAGGGAGCCAGCAGGAAGACCGCGTTCACGAAGCCCCCGAGCGCAGCCTCGGCCTCCCTGGCCTCGCCCTCCACGTCCAGCAGTCTCCTCCCGCTGCTGCGAAGGATCGGCTTCGTGGGCGACGTGATCTCGGGCCGGTCCCACTCGTAGTCCAGCAGCGTCTCCATCAGGGCGCCGTGCGTGTGGCTGGCCCTGGGCGCCGGGCCCGGCAGGTGGGCGCCGTGGGCGCCGGCCCCGAGCCTGGCGTCCAGCTCCTCCTCGAAGTCCTCCCAGGAGCGGGCCCCCAGTTCACGGAAGTCAGACACGCGGGACTGTCGGCCCCGCGCCCCCTGAGAGTCGAAGAACTTGAAGGCCCAGCGGACCCTGGCCAGGCCGAACCGGCAACTCAGGTAGGTGAGGAGGCGCAGGGCTGCCCGCCGGACTGAGCTCCGGCCGGCGGCACCGCCCGCGGTGTCCAGCAGCAGCATAACGTTGTGACAGCAGGCCATGGCGCCCGCGCCGCAGCCCCGGAGCTCCAGCCGCGGGCCTCGCTTCAGAGAACCAGCGCCATTCACCGCTTCCCTCAGGAGCTGCGGTGGAAAAGCTCCCGCGCTCTCCGAGTGCTCCTGCCATTGGCGGAGCCCTCCCCCAAAATCAGCTCCTATTGGTCGCTTGCCTTACGTACCTTACGAGAGTAACTTCCATCCTGGGCGCTGATTGGAAGGGAGACGGAGAAGCCGTCGGCCTAATTGGTGGAGGGCGTGGCCGTGAGCGGGGCCCCGTGTTCCGGGAGAAACTGCACATTCATTGGCTGAGGCCTTCGTTTTAAAATTTAAAGAGGTTGTGCTTCGGGGGCGTGTCCTTAAGTTTCCCTTTTGGGCTGGAGGCCCGCGTTTGGGCGATTGTGCGCAGGCGCGGGTGCGGGCTGTTGGGAGGAGTTTACTAAGAGTTTGCAAACTTGGTAGTGGGAGGGAATTGGATGGAGATGGTCTGATTCAGACTGGGATGAAGCCACCCCAGGCTTTCTATGGAGTAGAATCTGATGTAAAGACTTCCGTTTTCTGTGATTTAAGAAAAAAGTATTAACAAGTTCATTTCCTTTGTCCCAATGATTTCAAGGAGTTTCTCTGAAGAAGATAATTAGATACAAATGAAAGACGTATGTTTATCAGAGTCAGCTAACTTGAGAAAAATTGGAAAACAGCTCAAATGGGAGCTGGCAATGGTTAATGCATGGCACACCCTAAAGGGAAGGAACATCCTGTAGCTTTTTATATGTAATAGTAGATTAAAAAAAAAAAAAAGGACTACCAAACTGCATGCAGTGAGAACCCTGGATTTTCTATGTGAATATTTTTATTATTTTTTAAAGATTTTATTAATTTATTCATAAGAGGCACAGAGAGAGGCAGAGACACGAACAGAGGGAGCAGCAGACTCCTCGAAGGGAGCCCCCATGGGGGACTGGTTCCCAAGACCCCAGGATCATGCCCTGAGCAGAAGGCAGATGTTCAACCGCTGAACATCTATGTGTATATTTTTAAACTGTTAAGATAGGGGATTCCTGGGTGGCGCAGCGGTTTGGCGCCTGCCTTTGACCCAGGGCGCAATCCTGGAGACCCGGGATCATATCCCACGTTGGGCTCCTGATGCATGGAGCCTGCTTCTCTCTCTGCCTCTCTGTCTCTGTGACTATCATAAATTAAAATACAAATAAAAATTAAAAAAAATAAATAAACTATTAAGATAAAACTGTACAGAAAGTTGTCTGTGATGGTTTCTGGGTGATGACATTATGCTGATTTACTTTTTTAAATTATATTACTTTTTTCTAAATTGTCTATAATTTTGTATTTCCTTGTTACTTTTATAGTAGCGGGGAATATACTTAATGAATAAAAAGTATTTCCTGGGACGCCTGGGTGGCTCAGAGGTTGAGCATCTGCCTTCGGCTCAGGGAGTGATCGCACGGTGCCAGGATCGAGTCCCGCGTCGGGCTCCCTGCACGGAGCCTGCTTCTCCTTCTGCCTGTGTGTCTCTACCTGCCTCTCTCTGTGTGTCTCTCATGAATAAATAAATAAAATCTTAAAAAAAAAAAAAAGTATTCCTGTTGCAAATAGAAGAAGCCAGGCTTACAAGAAGGTAAAGGGAATATTCATGGTAGAGGCTGAGACCAAGGGGGGTTTGTTTACGGTACACTATAGGGAGAGCTTGGAAAGGGAAGGGGGTGGAATCAGCCCAGGGGATATACAGAGCTGTCAGAGGTTAAAATCCAGATGATAAGGATGACATTGGGAGGCTTGGTAAAAAGAGCTACGGTTTCAGTGCAGGACTCCACCTGACTGCAGGGTCTGCAGTGAAACTTCTCTTTCATTCTTGATATCAGTAATATGTGTTCTCTTTTTTTAAATATATATATTTTTTAAATTTTTATTTATTTATGATAGTCACACAGAGAGAGAGAGAGAGAGAGAGAGAGGCAGAGACACAGGCAGAGGGAGAAGCAGGCTCCATGCACCGGGGGCCGATGTGGGATTCGATCCCGGGTCTCCAGGATCGTGCCCTGGGCCAAAGGCAGGCGCTAAACCGCTGCACCACCCGGGGATCCCTCTTTTTTTAATATCAATCTTATTAGAGGTTTATCAGTTTTATTGATCTTTTCAAAGAATGAGTTCATTTCATTGATTCTCTTTTCTGTTTTTCCATTTCATTAATTTCTGTTCTTTATTTTTCTCTTCCTTCCTTTTGCTTTAGGTTTATTTTGCTCTTCTTTTTCTAGATTCCTTAAATGAGAATGCAACTTATTGAGTTGAGAGTTTTCCTCTTTTCTAAGGTATGTAGTGCCATAAATTCTCTTCTCAGCACAGCTGTGTCCCACAAATTTGGACACCTTTTTTTTTTCACTAATATCCACGTATTTTTATTTTATTTTATTTTATTTAAATTTTTTTATTTATTTATGACAGTCACAGAGAGAGAGAGAGGCAGAGACACAGGCAGAGGGAGAAGCAGGCTCCATGCACCGGGAGCCCGACGTGGGATTCGATCCCGAGTCTCCAGGATCGCGCCCTGGGCCAAAGACCGGCGCTAAACCACTGCGCCACCCAGGGTTCCCTATCCACGTATTTTTAAATTTCTCTAGAGAATTCCTCTTTGACCCATGGATTAATGAGAATGTGTTGTTTAGTTTCCAGTTGTTTGCTGATTTCCTGTCATCTTTCTATTTTTGATTTCTAGTTTGATTCCATTGACTTGGTAGGCACATTCTGTATGGTTTCAATTCTTTTTTTTTTTTAATTTTTTATTTATTTATCATAGTCACACAGAGAGAGAGAGACAGAGACGCAGGCAGAGGGAGAAGCAGGCTCCATGCACCGGGAGCCCGACGTGGGATTCGATCCCGGGTCTCCAGGATCGTGCCCTGGGCCAAAGGCAGGCGCCAAACCGCTGCGCCACCCAGGGATCCCTATGGTTTCAATTCTTTTAAATTTATTGAGGTTTGATTTATGTCTCAGGATATGGCCTATCTTCATATATGCTCCATGAGCATTTGAAAACAATGTATATTCTGTCATTGTTGAGTGTTCTATAAATACTGATTAGATTCTGCTGGTTAGTGGTATTTTTGAGTTCTTCTGTATCTGTGCTTTCTGTCTAGTTTTCTATCAGCTGAGAGAGAGAGAGATGTTGAAGCCTTCAACTGTAATTATGAATATGTCCATTTCTCCTTTCAGTTCTATCATTATTTTACTTTATATATTTTGCATCTCAGTTGTTTGGTACATACACATTTAAAATTTTTATGTCTTCTTAGTGTATTGACTCTTCTATCACTGTTATATCCCTCTCTGTAACTGGGGATTTTCTTTGCTTTGAAATACTTTGTCTGCTATTAATATAGCTCTCTTGCTTGCTTTTGTTTTTAGATTTTATTTATTTATTTGAAAGAAAGAGAGCACAAGTCAGAGGGAGAGGCAGAGGGAGAGGGATAAGCTGTCTCCCCACTGAGCAGGGCGCCCAATGTGGGGCCCAATCCCAGGGTCCTGGCATCACAACCCAAGCTGAAGGCAGATGCTTAACTGACTGAGTCACCCAGATGCCCTCTTGCTTTCTTTGGTTAGTGTTTGCATAGTATATCTGGTTTCATTCTTTTTCTGCCAACCTGTCCATATCATTATGTTTGAAGTGAGTTTCTTTATGTGACATCTAACTGAGTCATTTTTAAATATCTGTTCTGCCTGTCTCTATCTTTTAATGGATGTATTTAGACTCTGTAATGTATTATTGATTATTAGGGCATAAGTCTGACATCTTATTTTTTTGTTTTTGTTTGTTGTTCTGGTTTTCTGTTTTTCCCCCTGCTTACCTCAGGGTTAACTGGGCTTTTTTTTTTAATTCAATTGTGATTGATCAATTTTGTTTGTTAGTGTATTTCTTTGTCCAGATTTTTTAGTGTTTTGTCTGAGTGTTACAATATGTACATATAACTTACCATGGTCTGGTGAAGTATAGTTGTAGTGAAGTATGGAAATATTACCTCCTTTTGAGTCCTTCTCCCTCTCTCACTTAAAATTGTCTTTATTTCCTTTATAAATATTGGTAACCATATTAGTTATAATTTTTGCCTTAACCATCAAACTTAACTTTAAAACTTATGAAGGGAAGGAAGTTTTATTGTATTTACCCATACTTTTACTCTTTCCATTGTTCATTCTTTCTTCCTGATGTTCTCAGATTCCTTCTTTTACCATTTTTGTTGTTGTTGTTGTTGTTGTTTTATAACTTCCATTAGCCATTCTTTTAGGGCAAGTCGGCTTGCAGTAAAATCCTTAATTTTCTTTCATCTGAGAAGGTCTTTATTTTCCCTTTATTCCTTTTTTTAAAAAAAGATTTATTTTTTAAAAAAGATTTATTTATTTATTCATGAGACACAGAGAGAGAGAGGCAGAGACACAGGCAGAGGGAGAAGCAGGTTCCTTGCAGGGAGCCTGATGTAAGACTCTATCTCGGATCCCAGGATCACACCCGGAGCCAAAGGTCCAGACACTCAACAGCTGAGCCACCCAGGTGTCCCTTTTCTCTTTATTCCTGAAGGACTTTCGCTGGCTATAGAATTCTGGGGTGACAGTTCTCCCCCCCACCCCATCACTTGAAAAATGCAGTACTGCTTCCCCGCTGGCGCTCTGAGGCCTCCTCTGACCCTGCAGGTGGGGGAGCTGCCTTATCATGAGTGGTGGTGCCAGTCCTGTTTCTCCCCTGTGCCTCCTCTGACATCACCCTAGCAAGGGCAGGGAGAGCCTCTTGTTCCCAACAGATGGATTTGGGAGTTCATGTTCCCTAAGGGACCTCCCCGGATATGCAGTAGTTGGGCCTCATTACCATCAGGTGGGGATAAAAGTCCCAGCTCCCCACTACACCTCGGGTATCACCCTGGTGGGGAAGGGGCTGCCTTATTATGCCTAGCAAAGGGGCAAGTGTAGGTTCCCATTCAGTCTTTGCTGATGGGGCTGGGATATAATTTTGTTTGTTTGGGATTTTTGGAGTTTGACTGGACTAGATCCATTATTGTC